GTTTATTAAATAAATATTATTTATTGGTATATTGATGGCATCTTACTACTCATCTGCTTAGCGTGCTGAAATTGAGTATATTAACATTAATTAATTAGGTTTATAAAGGAAGAATCTCTCTGTCTTTGTAGCCCTATCTTGTTTTTTAGCTAATCCTAGTCCAAGTTGAAGCAGCCGGAGACACATTCCTGAAATGTTTTCTGTCGTCTTCACCATGTTTCTGGCAATTAAATGAATGGTTGATGTCCTTTACGGCCACCCTTTCTATAGCTATAATTGACACTAATCATGCACCTAAGCACTGTTAAGTTTTAATCACTGTTTTTATTGGTTGGGGGAAAGTTGTGATGTCATTGTCACAGCTACATACAAACTTGAGCAAATCAATACGTAACTGGATATAAACCATACCCGACAAACCATGTATCCGACAATTTAGTTATAGCTTTAGATCCTTCATGCTAGACCAATATCTTCTTAAAAGCTTATTATTTATATATTTGTCATATTAGGGGAAAAAAAAAGAAAAAGAAATAATCACACTCCCAGACTCATCATTAGCATCTAGGAATTAAGATTGATCTATGCGTGATTAGCATGTAGTTGTATTGTACCTAGTAACTTATCATTACCATTTAAAGGGGTTTTATAAATTTACTTTTTTGGATTAGACCTGCTGTCATGTTAATCCCACTCAAGCCTTGTAATAACATATGATAAGACTAGATATTCATTATGTTGAAACTTTATAATCATCATGTTTATGATTGGACCAAAGGCAAAGATATTGGTGTATCCCATGCACACATGTCGGCTTAGTCATCATGACAAACAAGCTTGCTTATGTATGATCAAGCTTATTACAAGACTCGTGTCATTTATCTATTAAATCAAACGACAATTAGATGCAAATTTTCATTAACAAGACAGCAGATTGTGACGCCACTCTTGGTACATTACATTCAGTCACTGGTAAAAATTATTGCACCCTTACGTACGAACCACTTTTATGTACTTACTTGATTAGATATAGCCCCAACCCCATATCTTTAATTATTGCAGCTTTAGTTTCCCACTCACATAATGAAGCAGTGAAGAAAATTGACACATGAGCATGGAAAATTACTGAAGGTACAGAAAGGGTACGCTCCTTTTTAACTCCAGAAAGTTACCAAACAATGATGGTTCTGAGGTTCCACAGATACTCCATATTATTGGCAAAGTAGCACTGGTAATATTATCGGGGATTCAGCTTCAAGATTTTAACGAGTCGTACGAGCTTACTATAGTAAAGATGAATAGCAACTCTAAGGGATATTTACGTGGCAAACAAGTCTATATAATTAAATTATACGACAATTATGGAGTGCATGATAAGCATAATCAACTACTAGTACGTGATTATCGATTGTAGATATTCAAAACGTCATTTTATTCATGGGAATTTTTTATCTTTATTTCTTCCTTCTTAAGCTATACTTTGCAAAAATTAATCAACAATGTTTCTCTACCTTCTTTATTACACCGTCTGAGACAGACACTGTAACATGTGTCGAGCTGATGCATATTGCTTTATATATACAAGTCAGAAGGGGTTTAGATGCTGACTTGTCATAGTTGTACCCGCAGACAATAATAGGACCCATTTATTTTTTTCGAAAAATAGGCATGTTTTTAATTAGAGAAGCATTTAAAAAAACTTTTCTAATGATCAATTTTTTTTTAGTTAAAAAATTAGAAGACTTAAAAAAATTTTAAAAGTTCTTAAAAAACATATATTATTGTTGCATTGTTGTCCAAAGAAATTACTTTTATCCCTTGCGACCCACAGTTTCATTGTTGTTTGGCTGCAATTACTTCCCTCACCAAAAAAAAAAAAAAAAGATTCGTTCCGAAGCACTTCTACTTTCAGTTTATTTTAGCCTTATCGGCTTTTAGCAGCAAAGTATACTGCTACAAGAACTATGGGTTAAATATATATATACCATGAAAACTATTCCTATATTTTTACTTCTTTACTTACACGTACGATCAAGGGGTTTATTCATGATAATATGATATTTGATATTAGAACTTCTACAACCAAGTAATTTAGAGTTTAATTCTTGACATGCCATTCTTTAACATTAAAGTTAAATTTGGGGTAAAAAATTAAATAAAGTAAAATATGAAACCATTCGTGTATTTCTTGCTAACAACATTAAGCTTTCAAGGTAATTATGTATCAATAATGGAATTCTTTCCAGAAAATCAGTAATCAAGAATTGTGAAGGATGATATTAATTGGCAAGGGATTAACAAGAAGAAAACATTATATATTTAATTAAATTCATCAATTTAAGCATTGAATGAACAATGATCAATCAGTAAAAAAAAACAAGAACTAAGAAGTTTTATCAAGCAGAGACAATTCCAGTACTGCACTACTTGTCAGTTCAGGGAAGATGACCCTACTCTATTTGAGTAAAATATTAAAAACAAGGGGACCCCTCAATTGCAGATGGATGTGTTGGTGAGCAACAAATATGTACAGCATTTACTTCTTTGGGTACCAACAATTCTGTTTATTGCTAAACAAATGGCAGCACCTTGTCTTCTCAAACTGGTTTGGTTGGGAAGTGTGTTTGAACTTTAACATTGCAATTTCCTGGTCATGTGCTTTTCTTAGGTATACTAACAGGAGCCAAGTGACAAATATGCATCAACGGCCCAGAGAACAGTTTCTATAGTGTCCAAATCCAGCATTGATGAGTCATGATTTGAAATTGAAAATAATTAACATGGAAACTAATCAGCCATTACTATCATTCAACTTTAATAGCTTTAGTCATGCATGTATTGGTGGGTACCAACCAATTACACGGATCTTATGCAAAATAACAAGGATGAACAGGAATCTAGATGAAGTAGTTGGTTCTAGAGCAGGCTAGTGTCTGTAGGAAAAAAAGTAGGACTAGACAGGGTTCAATGAAAATCAAGCTCTTTTCTAGTTTCTTTCTAATAACTAACGCCAGTTATGCAAGATACATCAAAACCCAGTTGATCATGTTTTATATATCCCTATACCCTCAATTGGAACGGAAACACAGAAGAAGATGGTGCATATGATTGGAGAGGACAGTGCAACATGCGGGTCGACATAGAGAAAGCAGGTGGAACACATAATCCACATGGACTGTCTATATCCATGGCTGCAAAGCTTACAACACCAACAATAATCTTGTATTGTTGATGAAATTAACTATATATATCACAAGATATATTAAAATCAAATTCTAAGAGATTTATTCACCTTAAAATATTCTTTTAATAATTTCCTTCAAAGTCTTTTTTTTAACTTCCCTCTATACTTTTGACAAAATTAAAAATCATGTGATCTATTCTTTTTTACTGCTAACTTTAGTAACCTTCTTTACACAACACCAAATTACAAAGATAAAAAAAATCATGTGAATAAATTTTAAGAGATTTTATTCACCTTAACATATTTTTTAGGAGTTTCTTTTAAAGTCCTTCTTAACTTCCCTCCATCCCTTTTGACAAAATTATAAATCATGTGATGTATTCTTCTTACAACCAACTTCAGTAGCCTTATTTGCACAGCCAAATTATAAAGGTATAAAAAAAACTTTTAGTTGCTAAAGAACTTTTAGTTTCTTAATTAACGGGGATGGAAATCACACGTGACTTCTATTTTTATCTGTTTTATTTCTTCACTTTTATGTAAACGTCTACTTTTCACTTGCATTTCATAATTGGAGAAAGTAAAAGAAGCAGCATTTGTGAGGTAGGTAGTGTATGTGGTATACTGCTGATATTTTTCTTTTTTTTTCCTTTTTTGTTTATTAATTTATTTATCTGCCATGAATGCTGATAGTCTTTGTCAATATAAATAGATAATAGATTGATACATAGATATTGTCACACCGATTCCATAGTAGTGAGAATATTTCTCTTCGTTTTCACACCACCATCTCCCAAGCCCATTATTTGACAGGGATATTCGTAGGGGAAATTTTGGATTCCCTATCCTCTCGAATTACGCTTAAGCTCAAGTTCAAGATAAAAGCCAGTGTTTAAATAGCTACAGTTTGGATATCATCATCATTGTCACAGAAAAAGTAAAGGTATTTTTTAATTAAAAATTACTAATAGTAAATATTTAAATGAAAACTACTTTAATGATTAATATTAACCAAAACGAAAATCTATCTCAAAACTATTCACCTGATTAAATATTACTTTTAAGACACCCAATTAATATCATCTTTATGAGCTATATGTAAGAGGTCATTGTCTGTACTTGACACACAGCTATCTTGGCCTCGCCACATTTTAGTAATGGTTCAATGCACGCAGCTTCGGAAGAATTCTTCTGTGTTCCCATAGCACATGCACTCTGAAAGCATGGAAAATTTTCTCCGCTGTTTGACAGTTCTATCCTTGTACAAAGAGAACTTCCTTGTCTGTGGAAACAAAAAATTGTCACATCAATTCTTTGCTTTCTAGGCGAAGCAAATTGATTGATTTTCTTAAAATATAAATAAAATTGACTAATTCTTTAATGGACTGATGCAACATTCTCCTTAAATATAATTGACAATATAAAAAGATATGTGAAATGATTTTTTCAGTCAATGTTAAAACTACACCAAATTTTCTTATGTAAAAGTAACACACATAAGCACTCATGCATTGGCTCGATAAGCAATTAAGCGAGTTTATAACTTCATATAAATATTATTTATAATTTTTTTTAACACGCTCTTCTAAATATATTTGTATTTAACTAATTTTTTTAGTTTATAACTATAAAATTATATCGATCTCACCTTTAATTTAATAAGTCTTATATATTATTTCACAAATTTTAATAATTTTTAATCAATCTTTAAGAGTATATTGAAAAAAGATTATCAAAGAATGTGTTTATCTACAACATATTAGCTTTGCAAATGAAGGGATTGATTGATGATTGTTAATGGCCGAGTATTAAGTTTGAGAGAAAAAAAATTAAATAATAATATGTTAATCCTTTTACAGAATTTATAAATTATATGAAAATTAACGATTATTGTATTCTAAACTCTTGACAATTTGTTTGATTTTTTCCAGTGGAGATCGACCATGATCTTATTAACGCTATTGTGAAAATGTCGAAATGGCTGGACCCATAAATAATAAATAACAATAATAAAAATAACAACCATAATGATGCCAAAACTCTGAAGATTCTGCAGATACATATACATAAAAGCTAACTAGACCAACAAACAAATGCATGGCCAGTCATGTCAAGAACATGATCAGTAGCATCAACCCCTCATTTCTCAATAATGGTGAAATTAACTGTACCAAGAGAATAACTGCCACCACAAGAATCAATACTTGGATAATTTACATGACATAAATTTCAATGTCTACTCTATTGATAGTCTCTCGGAATTTGTGCATCATAAGTCCACAAAAATCACTGGAACAGAACAATGGATCTAGAAAAGATATGGTCTTATTTGGTCGGCATTTTCTGTCCTTTTGGTTCTTCCTCCATTAATTTTGGTGCCTTTATTCATCTTCAAAGGTCACTTTAATATGATGGACTAGGGAACCAAGCCAGAGTCTTTACGCCACGAATTACCCTCCCTTCAACTGAAATCATGTACTTATACTGATACCAAGCGTAGCTTTGGTGCTTAACTCCTTTTTGGCTCATTCTCGTGCTTCTTTGGAATTTCCTTACCTAATGTAAAAGCTAAATCCTTAAAAAGTTAAAATAAAATAAAGGGGGGTCAGTGCCTAGGTAGCGCGTGTTATTAAATTATATAATAAAGTTTTAATATGTGGCATAATTTGAAAACTTACAAAATGTTCGTAGTTTTGTAGGGTAGTTCTGTGAATTATATATTTAATGAAAAGAACATAAGTTGTTGCTGAATCCATATGGATGAAGAAACTTTTGTCGCTGGTCCTCTACGTCCCAGAAATGACTACCGGTATCCTGAAAGTGATGTTTTTGTCAGAATAATAATAGTGGAAGGGAAAAAAAAGTATTTCTACTTTTTGTTAAAAACTAATTTAATTTTTTTGTCATTTGTGTTTATTATACCTCAGAGAAGACATTTGATCTCTGCCCTTGAAGAAAAAACGAAGCTGAATTGTCCAAAAGGTAGTCACTAGCAACAGTGTGGAAGATGTTGGTGGGGGTCATGGTGGTTGTGTCAGCAAAAGTTGTGCCTTGGTTGGGGCTGTTGCAATGTGACACAGATGGTAGTGGTGACGGTGATGGTGATGGTGATGCAATGCTATTTAGTTTCTGGAAATTCAAATAGACCAAGTTAATCTCACGATTACACTTTTTAATTTGGTTAACTACATAAATGCCACTGGCTCATGCAAATTAAGTACAAGGTTTTCTGGATCCTCACCTCTGGTCTAACCAAGAGAACGTCTAGGTCCGTTGTCATGTCATAAAACATGGGATTCACGGAAGCAAGCTTCATTGACAAGAACTGCATAAATTAGAGGCATAGCTAGCTTGTTAGTATACCCATTATAACTTATAAATAAAGTGTAATAACAAAAATAAGAGGGTATATATTGGGGGTACCTCCACTTGATTTTGTAAAGACTGAACATAGTTGATTATTTCATCCAACATAAGGGCCTTCCCAGTCACCTAGTTACAAACCAAAACTACATGAGGATAACGCAACCAATCAAAAGGATAAAAAAGGAAAGGAGCTGCCAAATGTTAGATTATTTAAATTTTAATATTATTTAATTGGTCCTACATGCAAGTGTGACATGAAGTTCTACTTTACCTACCTTATCACAGCCTGGCACAAGCCGTTGCAACACCTTCATCCTTTCACTGATTTTCTCTCTTCTCACCTGAAATCCATATTTTGCATGATTCATAATGAGACATGGAGATATAACTCTGGGGCATTTTAGTAATTCCAGCAAGTGGACCAACATCCATAGATAATTTTGAAGTTGTTAAGAAATTACTGTACCCTTTCAGCAAGGCTGTGGCTATCCGTTGCCTGACCCCTCCTTGCTCTTACGTGGATATAGCCTGTTGGAGGCTCCTCTGGACACTTTCTCTGATCCTTCTTCTCACCTTTTCGCTTCTCCTCTTCTTTCACCTCTCCATTGCTCTTCCTTGGTTTCTTGTTTTTCCCTTCTACTGCAGTATCCTGCATTAATCAACAAAATAATTAACTTGGTTAACATATGGATATATTTTTATACTATAGTATTCATATACTTACATAGTATTTTCAGTTATCTTACAGCCCATTTTGCTCTTTATATCTTTCTTTCTATTACATCAATCACTTATTATATTTCTAATTTTTTTCTCCCTTTTTTATTTTTCCTTCTATATCTAGGAAAATAATGCTTAGGAAATAAGGTAGGAACAAAAACCATTACAGCTCAAACATAGATTTATTTACCTTGGATTGAGGGTTACTCAAGGAAGACCCAGTTCTGGTTCTCCTTTTCTTGTCCATAGGAGTGACCTTTTGAGTGACTTGTTCACCAGTTTCAAGCTTATCCACTCCCATGGAGGACTGAGGACTGAGGTTATTTTTTGTGACAGAAGGCTCATTGTCACTGACGGAAACCTTGGAACTTTGGTCAACACAGCTAGTGTCTTGGTTTGTGACATTAAAAGATGTTTCTTGATGAAGTGGAAACTGAGTAGCAGTAATAGGAGGAGAAGCAGTGGGCAAGAATGATGGGTCAACAAGGAAAGGGTGGTATTGGTATGAAAAAGCTGCCATATGTGTGAAGTGTGGAAAGAGTCTTTGGGTAGGAAAATGCAAGTTAAGTGAAATAAGTGATGGAGTGTGCAGGAGTCAGGAAAAGTTGGTCTGGGACAAAACTAAAAGGGTGTGGTCTCTATATATAAAGATGTGGCCACATAAAATGATGAAATCTTTAAAAGCGGTAACTCGTTCCCATGTAGGCGCAGTACATTTGACTGGTCTAATGTCTTACACTACAATTTTCTCTTTCATGTTTACTCATAATATTAAATGACGCCCCATTTATGATAAACAAGATTATTTGACTTTTTCGGGGTAGTTTGTTGGGAGCCCATAAAATCACTTTAAAAAATTAGTTTAAAATTCATGTCTTTTTAAGAGAACATCACCTCCCTTTTTTTATTTGTTTTCTTGAAAATAATACATAAATTAAAAATTAAATATACATAGAGATGTAATTTTAAAATTGTAATAAATATTATTTTCAATTTTTAAACAAATAGATAAATTTTAAAAATAGGCAGATAAAAAATGGATGGAATAAGAAAGTATGATTTTTCTTCTTAAATAATCCTCATATATTAGTATTATACTTAAAACGCTTAATTAGTTCTCAACTAGACTCTATTTTTTTTAATAATAATATTTTAATCAAAAAGACATTTATCATAATAAATAGTATTTAGTAGAATGGACAGTTTTCTTCCGATGCATTTAATGAATGAAAAATGAAGAGAATATTTTTTATTTAATATTAAAAAATTTTAAAATAATTTGTATTTGAGTATATTAACAAAATTATTGATCTTATAGTTTTATTTATCTTTCTTTTTCTTCATTAATACTTATAAATATTTGAGGACATTATTCTTAAGTTTTCCTTCTTGCTAACTAGTCGTGTGTTTGAGTCAATGTTAGTATTTACTAAACATAGGTTAATCCCAATACTACTCTCGTCTCTTTAATAAACACAAGCAATGATTTTAAATGACAACTAATTCAAAATAGTTAGTGTATATAAAAGTAGTGGGAAGCAAACATAGATTAATCTGTAATAATAGTTTTAATCATTTGCTTTTAAACCGACACAGTGATATGTATATATATAAAAGAGTCAAAGGAAAATATAAAAGCGCGTATTTGCCCCTTAAATATGATTAATTAATTATGTTGTTTTGTATAGATAGCGACTCTTAATTGTTTTATTTAATCTTCCTTTTTATTTTCCTTTTGTAAGGTATATGCACTCACTGCTTTGAATTGGGACCCAAAATTTGCTGTTCATTTACACGATCTTCCTCCTTTTATCCAAATCGATCCAAACAAATAGCGTACCGTTGCAGTGCAGTGCAAGATGCGATCTCGTGATTATAAGACCTTATCATTATTTTTAATCACTTATTACCAAAACAATCTCAATCCACCATTGTAAACTTATCTTATTCATGATGTAAGGAAATGTTGATTGATCTTTAAGAATATCAGTTCAAAACATAAAATTAATAGATTATTATTGAAAATATTTTACTTTTTATAGCCAGCATCGTAATAGATCCTTGTTTTAATTTCACTATAGTTTCTTTTATTTAGATTTGTGTAATTTATATATTTTTTAGTCAATCGTGTATTTTTAATCTCATTATTAGTTTCTTATTCAAAACCTTTAAATTATCGTTTTGTATTCAATTATTTATTATCATTTGTGATATGCAATACTTTTAGTAATTCTTTAGTTTTATACTTTTAGAAGTAAACATTTAATAAAATTTTACAAATTAAAAGAATTTTAATAAAATCTGATATTAGTATTTGAATAACAAATATTTAACAACTTGTTTATTTTATATGGAATTTGATGTTTTGATTGATAAATTTTAAAAATGACGTTTTAAAATAATTTAAACTTTAATATATATATATATATATATATATATATTAATTACACTTCTAGGCTTTGTAATTGGAATTGGAATTTATGAAAAAGCAAAACCATTGATGGGGACTTTGATAATACAGTAAGATTCCTCCAAATTGATGTCCACATTGGGCTGAAGATGTTGGATCATATACTTCACAATCTATCGGCCCACACAGAGACTGCCCCCCAAGATAATCAAAATTTTTCATTTTCTTTTAAAATATTTTATCATAAAATAAAATAACACTGAATAAACAAAAAGTATAAAAATGTTGAGCAGGTTGCAGAGATCTCCAGCTTAGGGAACCTACTGTTTGGTGAGAGTGATGTTTGTTTAGTGTGTTTATGTTTCTCTTTGTCTTTTTGCTTTTCATGTGTTAGGGAAATATGAAATATGTATAAACATTAGATTTGTTTTTTCTTTCTTAGAAATTATATTTTTCATCAATCTTGCTTTTTTATATTGTATTATTAAAAATATTATAAATGTGTATACCATATTTAAATATTCTCGCAAGTGTTAAATAATACTTCATAAATGTGTTTAATTTTTTTATATACAAATATTTTTACTCATACTTTATCTCAGCAATATTTTGTTGAAAAATATAATTAAAAAATTTCTAAAAATTCCAATCATTATAAATATTCTTTATTTATACCAAACATGAAAATTTTTTCTAACTTAAAATTCCTAAAACATAAAAGAATCACATTACGAACGCCCTCTTGGCATTAAAGCAAAAGTACGGGTCGCTTGTTATATTTACCATTCTTTATGTAGATACATTAACTAAGAAAGAGAAGGCAACCAATTAAGGTGTGTTTAAGTCTCTAATTTAATTAAAAATTTATTTAATATTTTTATACAAAAATCATATTATAATTTCAATCATAAAATTTATTAAAATTAATAAAAAATTTATTCTAATAATATATTAATACTTCATGCAACATTTTCAAACTTTAAAGGTTCTCACCGTAATCTAGTGGTATTTGCTATATAATATTTTTAGGACATTCGTATATAGATTAAATATACCTTTAATTTCATCTTTACTTGTGATAAATTTCCATTTACTTATGTGGGTGTTAACTTTATCTCAGGATGAAAGTTCAGCTACGTAATAAAAACATATAAAAGACGTAATTGTCTTGACTCTCTTCCACATGCATGTATAACACAAACAAAACGATACACGATGCATGCACAGCGATTGGAGTCAATTCAAGGATCACGTATTATTACTATAATGTGTTTTTTTCTTTTATTATTATTATTATTATTATATATGCGTCAAATCCATTAAAATTAATCAATTTATCTTTTTTTTTTAGAAAAAAAAAAGTTACAATAATAAATATAAGATTTTCCTAACATCACCTTGAAATAGTAATCTCAAGTCTATAAAAAGTCAGATATAATATTTAAAATTACAATATAAGATATTCTAAGTTTAACTAAATATTTGCACATGTAGTGTTTTCATATAGAGTATGACTATGATTTGTGGAACTTTTCTCAATCACTTGTTTATATCTTAAATGATATCAGCATACTTTTGAAAAAGTAAAACAATTTTTATCATAAGATTTATGATATTTGTCAAGTTAAAAGTAATACAAAGGATGTTTAATATTTAGATTTTAAGTCAATTTTAACCCTTGAAGTATGACTATAAGGTAAATATGAGTATTGTTAGAAATATTAATGAACTTAGAAGCTTTTTTAAGCCAATTTTCATCCTTATTTCTAATAATAGTACTGAAACCAACTCTTTCTGAGCTCCCTTAATAGACGATGTCGAGTCTCTATAAAAACAATTAAGTTTTTTTAAAGGTTTTGTAGTATAGAGCCAAACCTGGGTCGATTCACGGAAATACATTTCAGTCGAATTCAATTTTAAGTTTTGTTTTAAAGAATGCAAATAAGATTTTTTGGGGTTTTGAAAATTACAAATTAATTAAATTAAATTAAATTAAATTAAATTATTGACAGAATTAAAGTGAGTAAAAATGAATTAAGAAACATCAATCTACAGAATACCAATTCCGTGTAACTCCGACTATCACAATATCTAAAGATTTAAATTCGCTTTTAAACAATTACTCAATTCAATTATTAATTCAATCGAATATCCTAATTGAATAGGGTTACGAATTAAATTAAATAATCATTTAACCTAATCCACATTAATTATAAAATCAGAGTATCAATTGAGTCCTAATTTAAATTCTAACAACAGAAAAGTTAATTAAGATTGCAATACACAATTTTGAAATTAGAAAGAAAAGAGAACAAACTTGAAGCAATTTAGTGCATAACTTAAGTTGAAATTACGACGTTTGGATTCCACAGATTGAACGAGAGTTTTAGTCTTCTATCAAAACTCTTACCCCATGCAAGAATGAGAAACGAATAAGAGAGTTCGAGAGAAAGTAAAAACAAAGATTTTTATTTCGGCCAAATCTCAAAATTTCAAAGTATCTAATCACTTTCCCAATTCAGAACCTTATTTAGCATATCTAGTTCTACAATTTCATGAGGAATGTTTTGGGTAGGGTCAAGCTCTGAAGCTAGGAGTTATGCCTCAACAATACGATCTCCGTATGTGTCATCATTAGCATGTATTCAGCTTTTTGCCTAATCAAGTCAAAAAAGTTTCTATTTGGCCATAATGATGACAACCCCTCTTCAGAAGATAAAAAATTGTATTCTTTCAATTTTGTACATCTACAAGTTTAAATAAATGTGAAGTAAGGAATTAAACATAATTATATTGTTTCAAGTTTAAATTTAAAAATTTACATGTTTTTTTTAAAAAATATTACTTACCATGCATCCTTTAGTCACGTGATGTCGAGTAATCCAATATCATGTGTATTTCGTGTTCCACCTTATGTAGTATGAATTTTCACTTAATAATCCTATTTATGGATGGTTCGTAACCACAAACTCTGCTATGCAATTCCACGTATCAATGTAGGATCGGTAAATTCTGCATCAATCTTTATTTGTCTTTCCTCTAAGTATTATGCCATGTATACTTTCATCTTGTCTCAACTTACTAGGAATATGTTGAGTCATATCAAATTGTTGCATAACATGATCAAGTTGACGCCATTGAACAATTTGAAAGTAAAAAAATGGTACAATTGCTATCCAATTATACCATTTCATTTAAATGCATTGG